AATAAAAGTGAAAGCTGGTTCTTTGAGAAGATAAACTAAATTGATAAACAATTAGCCAGACTCGTTGAGAAAAAGAGGGAGAGGACTCAAATCAATAAAATTAGAAATGAAAAAGGAGAAGTTACAACAGACACCACAGAAATACACAGCACCCTAAGAGACTACTACAAGCAAATCTATGCCAATAAAATGGACAACCAGGAAGAAATGGACAAATTCTTAGAAAGGTATAACCTTCTAAGACTGAGCTAGGAAGAAATAGAAAATATGAACAGACCAATCACAAGTAATGAAATTGAAACTGCGATTAAAAATCTTCCAACAAACAAAAGTCCAGTACCAGATGGCTTCCCGGGTGAATTCTATCAAACATTTAGAGAAGAGCTAACACCCAACCGTCTTGAACTCTTCCAAATAATTGCAGAGGAAGAAACACTCCCAAACTCATTCTATGAGGCCACCATCAGCCTGATACCAAAACCAGACAAAGATACTACAGAAAAAGAAAATTACAGACCAATATCACTGATGAATATAGATGCAAAAGTCCTCAACAAAATGCTAGCAAACAGAATCCAACAACACATTAAAAGGATCATACACCATGATCAAGTGGGATTTATCCAGGGATGCAAGGATTCTTCAATATACACAAATCAATCAATGTGATATACCATATTAACAAACTGAAGGATAAGAACCATATGATAACCTCAGTAGATGCAGAAAAAGCTTTTGACAAAATTCAACACCCATTTATGATAAAAACTCTCCAGAAAGTGGGTATAGAGGGAACCTACCTCAACATGATAAAGGCTATATCCAACAAACCCACAGCAAACATCATTCTCAATGGTGAAACACGGAAAGCATTTCCTCTAAGACCAGGAACAAGACAAGGATGTACACTCTCGCCACTATTATTCAACATAGTTTTGGAAGCCCTAGCCACCGCTATCAGAGAAGAAAAAGGAATACATATTGGAAAAGAAGAAGTAAAACTGTCACTGTTTACAGATGACATGATGCTATACATAGATAATCTTAAAGATGCCACCAGAAAACTACTAGAGCTAATCAATGAATTTGATAAAGTTGCAGGATACAAAATTAATGCACAGAAATCTCTGGCATTCCTATACACTAACAATGAAAGATCAGAAAAAGAAGTTATGGAAACAATCCCATTCACCATCACAACAAAAAGAATAAAATACCTAGGAATAAACCTCCTGAAGGAGGTAAAAGACCTGTACTCAGAAAACCATAAGACACTGATGAAAGAAATCAAAGATAACACAAACAGATGGAGAGATATACCATGTTCTTGGATTGGAAGAATCAATATTGTGAAAACGACTGTACTACCCAAAGCCATCTACAGATACAATGCAATCCCTCTCAAATTACCAGTGACATTTTTTTACAGAGCTAGAACAAAAAATCTTAAAATTTGTATGGAGACACAAAAGACCCCAAATAGCCAATACAATCCTGAGGGGAAAAAATGGAGCTGGAGGAATCAGGCTCCCAGACTTCAGACTATACTACAAAGCTACAGTAATCAGACAGTATGGTACTGGCACAAAGACAGACATATAGATCAATGGAACAGGATAGAAAGCCTAGAGATACACCCACGCACCTATGGTCAATTAACCTGTGACAAAGGAGGCAAGGATAAACAATGGAGAAAAAACAGTCTCTTCAATAAGTGCTGCTGGGAAAACTGAACAGCTACATGTAAAAGAATGAAATTAGAACTCTTCCTAACACCATACACAAAAATAAACTCAAAATGGACTAAAGACCTAAATATAAGGCCATACACTATAAAACTCTTAGAGGAAAACATAGGAAGAACACTCTTTGACATAAATCACAGCAAGATCTTTTCTGACCCACCTCCTAGAGTAATGGAAATGAAAACAAAAATAAACAAATGGGACCTAATGAAATTTAAAAGCTTTTGCACAATAAAGGAAACTATAAGTGAGATGAAAAGAAAACCCTCAGAATGGGAGAAAATATTTGCAAATGAATCAACGGACAAAAGGTTAATCTCCAAATTATATAAACAGCTCATGTAGCTCAATATTAACAAAACAAACAACCCAATCCAAAAATGGGCAGAAGACCTAAATGGACATTTCTCCAAAGAAGACATACAGATGGCCAAGAAGCACATGAAAAGATGCTCAACATAACTAATCATTAGAGAAATGCAAATCAAAACCACAATGAGTTATCACCTCACACCAGTCAGAATGGTCGTCATGGCAAACTCTACAAACTATAAATGCTGGAGAGGGTGTGGAGAAAAGGGAACACTCTTGCACTGCTGGTGGGAATGTAAATTGATACAGCCCCTATGGAGAACAGTATGGAGGTTCCTTAAAAAACTACAAATAGAATTACCATATGACCCAGCAATCCCACAACTGGGCATATACCCTGAGAAAACCATAATTCAAAAAGATGCATGCACCCCAATGTTCATTTCAGCACTATTTACAATAACCAGGTCATGGAAGCAACCTAAATGTCCACTGACAGATGAATGGCTAAAGAAGATGTAGTACATATATACAATGGAATATTACTCAGCCATAAACAGGAATGAAATTGGGTCATTTGTAGAGACATGGTTGTACCCAGAGGCTGTCATATGGAGTGAAGTAAGTCAGAAAGAGAAAAACAAATATCGTATATTAATGCATATATGTGGAATCTGGTAAAATGGTACAGAAGAACCAGTTTGCAAGGCAGAAATAGAGACACAGATGTAGAGAACAAACGTATGGACACCAAGGGAGGAAAGCCGGGGGGAGGAAGTGGGGTGGGATGAATTGGGAGATTGGGATTGACATGTATACACTAATATGTATAAAATAGATAACTAACAACCTGCTGTATAAAAAAATAAATAATTAAAATAAAATAAAAAATAAATAAAAACTCTAAGGCCACAGCGGGAGAGGTTTGGTACCACTGAGGATGAGAAGACAGAGGAAGAATTGTGAAGAAAATCTATTGGTAGGAAGAAGTGATGAGTTTAAACATTTTAGAGGCAGAGGAATGCTGTGTAGACCCTAAAGTGAAATGATCTACAGGCAGAATGGAAGCTGGAGTTACTAACGTCCTTAGAGCCGCAGGGATGAATGAGCTTCCAAAGGATGTGAAACTAGAGAGACAGAAATGGAATTCCAAGGATTGAACCCAGGGAGATCCATTAGCAAAAAGAGTGGGCCCAACACCAGAAAAAATGGCACTGCAGAGATGAGGAAGTCCCAAGTGTGGGCAGCTTGGAAAGAGGCAAGAAGCAGCCAGTGGAGAAAACTCCAAGGTTGAGTGGGGGAACCCATGTCAAAGATGTCACTTGAGAGCTGAAAGGTTCTTCAGCACAGGGAGGGGGTGAGAACCAGCCTGGGGCACAGGGAGAGGACAAGGGGAGAGCTATTGTAGGGAGAGGAGTGTGTGATCTAAATCAGGGAAGACCCAAGGGGTGGAAGGGGCAGGGAGGTGAATACCTATCTTGGAGGATTTGGGGTGTGAGGGCATTTTCCAACACTGCATGAAAGGAGTTAGCCAAGAAATTAAGGGGTTGTTGGGGAGTGGGCAGAGTCTATAACCAGACAGGGTGCTGATCAGAGAGCATGGAACTCTAGAATGCAGAACTGAGATAGGGGTTTGGGTGACAGGCCTTTGGAGCTAATTCAGATGCCCTGCAAGGTTGGACTCCTTCTGCACCATGTTTGTTCTTCAGCCCTACAGCAGCTCCAGCCACACTGGCATGAGGGCCCTGGGATGGTGGGTGGGAACTTCCCCCAGAATAAAGTAAGAGATCTAGGAAGCTGGGGAGAAAGGAGAGAGAAAGTGAGGTTGGGAATAAAACAGGAGGGCCCAAGTAATTGGAGTCTTAGAAGGAGAGACATAAGAAAGAGAATTTTCAGGAAAAGCTAAATTTAAAAAAAGAAACACCCTAAAAGAGGTCAAGTGGTTTCCCCAGACTGAAACTCAGACAAATGCACCTAGTTCTAGAGTTTGTTCTTCTGGCCTCACAGCTGGGCTAGAGGTTAACAAATGGGACTTCTCAGTCAGGAAGAGAGATCTATTTCAGGCCTTGAGATGCAGAGGAGGCCGTGAGTTCTGTGTGCTCTCTGTTGGCAGTCAGCATCTCAGCAACTGTAGGATGAAGACAAACAAAAATGTTCCTAGGGTTGATGTGAGGGTGTTTGTGGGCTGTGGGCCAGCAGGATGGATGACCAGTTTGTTGCCAGGGCTAGTAAAATCTTTTATTGTCTCGGAGTGATTCATTTGCTTCCTAGGAATTGAGTAAAATGAACATGGAAATTGTCAGGCCTGTGCTTTCTTCAAGATTTGCCAATATTTCCCCCTGTTACATCTCATGCTTACCAGGTAAATCACTTGGAGAAACCAGATGCTCGGGAGAAAGCAGGGGGTTCCCTCAGTCTGGATACAAGATCACACAAACACAGGAGCTGTATTTTTTTTTAGCAGAGACGAAGTTCATTTGGAAATCTCCACAGCTCTGCAGAAAAATAGAGGTTCCCAAGGTGCTCATCAGGGAAGAAAATAAGACCCCGTATTTTAGTCCTGCCTTGTTGAATGGCTCTCAGAAGGCTGTAAAATAGAGACAAAACAAATTGAATTTTAGCTATCTTACCTTTTAATCAGAGGCTCATCTGTTCTGTTTCTAAAACAAGTAATCAGTGATTCAAATTTCAACCAGAATTCTGCTAATGTCTGCTGGCCACAGCTCACAAGAAGGAAAGGTCAGGAAGATCCACAAAATAATAAACTTCTGTGTCCACCCTCCTCCATCCTTTAACCTTGGCTTCCTGTTACTAGAAACTAGCCCCATTTGCAATTAGAGTTAAACAGAATATTAAACTTTGTTGAAATTTTATTTTTTGGATTAATTTTAGTCAGCATTCCAAAAGTGTAACAGACTCTTTCTCTCTCTCTCCTCTTTATAGCTTGTTGGAAAGGTGAGTATTCTTACCATATTATGCAGCTTGCTGAAATAATTCTTGCATTCTGACAAGACCATATACACACTACTATATATAAAATAGATAACCAACAAGGATCTACTGTATAGCACAAGGAACTATACTCAATAGTTTATAACAACCTATAAGGGAAAAGAATTGGGAAAAAATAGATATATATATACGTATGTCTAACTGAATCACTTTGTTGTAACTAACACAACACTGTAAATCAACTATACTTCAATAAATAAAAAAAATAAAAGTAAATGGGCAAAATATTTGAATAAACACTTCACAAAGAAAAAATAAGAAACTCTCATCCCCATGGGAAAAGAGACTTCTTCCTTCTGTGCAGACACTTATTATGACTATAATTTTAAGTGTCATGTTTGGACTTAACTATAAAATGCTGACTGCCAGCTCCCAGATCTTTCACATTGCTGTTCTTTCCAGGTCCTGCCAGTTTCCAACTAATTTTCTTCACGGGGTAGGTCCTGTGTTGCTGGGCAATTCAGTGCAGGGCTGCTCGCTGCCTGACCCATTCTGTTGTTCCATCTGCTGCTGAGTCCGTGGACACTGGCTCCTTGGACGGGCGATGTTTCCTTTCCTCTCTCTGACCTCCATTCACACCTTTCACCTCCATGTGCCCACCACTCGTCAGCCTGACCCAGAGGATGGAGGATGGTCTTCTTGGGGCCTAGACTACAATCGGTGTTCTGTGTTGCCTTAGACCCCTCGGATGATGTCACCTCTGAGCCGGTTAAGTCAACTCCAAGAGCTCCTGGTCTCCTAGAGGCCTGCTGACATAGATCCACCAGATCTTTGAGCTCATCCCAAAGTTTGGCACCATTCACTTTATTCCAAAAAAAAAAAAAAATCTTAGTAAATCTAAGCACTCAGTAAAACATCAGGGGTTTGAATTAAATTTATCAGGTACCCTACTGGGCACTAAGAAAGGGAGAGATTAAAAATAAATGGAAACTGGTGCTGCCTTCTAGGAAAATCTGTGATGATAGGTCAGCTCTGAAGATGCTATCTACCACTTCATTAATCATTTTTAGTATAGGGCTAAGAAATAAGGCATAGTCCATTTTTCTCATTTCCTTGTTCATTATTGGCTTGCATATTTTAAAAATTTCTTCGCAGCAAAATGTCTTGATTCAAAATACATCTCAAAATCAACACTTCCTCTTCTATTTCTGTTACTGGTAACAATGGTGGGGAGATGCTATATTTTGAGTTTTATGCATTTTGATAGTTAGCCAGATTGGGGAGAGTAGATGTAGATGAGGGGGTGCTTAATTTTTAAATAATTTCATTTTTTCTTCCTGTGTTCAGACTTTAACAAGGACTTTGAAAAGTTTGGTTTGATACATAGGGCAGATTACCTATGAAATTCCCAAAGTGCAGTCATCATAAAACTATTAGGATTGAGTTGGAGATTACAGACAGTCCCATCTTTATAATAGCTTGTTGAAAGCCTGCCATGGTCCACTGTGCTGCCCCCTTCCTCCTGCCACCCTCGCTGTCATCCCAAAGCCCCTGAAATCCTCTCTCTCTGGAAACAGCCTCTTTGTCCTCTGAATTCCTGTGAAGAATAATAATCACTCTCTACCTTTCAATATCATGATCTTCCCCAGACAAGTTCCTCGAGGGCAAACTTGGATTTGTTCATCTTCGTATGTATCTCACAGCACATGTTACCCTGCATTTCACATGGTGGATACTCAATAAATGTTTGCACATAAGTGGATGAAAGTCTTCCAGCTGACTTTATCATTATTAGTAGATCATTTCTGAAGTTTTTTTTTTTTTTTTTTTTTTTTGCGGTACGTAGGCCTCTCACTGTTGTGGCCTCTCCCGTTGCGGAGCACAGGCTCCAGACACGCAGGCTCAGCGGCCATGGCTCACGGGCCCATCCTCTCCGTGGCATGTGGGATCTTCCTGGACTGGTGCATGAACATGTGACCCCTGCATCAGCAGGCGGACTCTCAACCACTGCGCCAGCAGGGAAGCCCCATTTCCGAAGATTTTTGAAGAGAATAAACTTTCAGATTTTTTTTGAATTTTATTTTTTTTATACAGCAGGTTCTTATTAGTTATCCATTTTATACATATTAGTATATACATGTCAATCCCAATCCCCCAATTCATCACACCACCACCACCCCCCACCACCACTTTCCCCACTTGGTGTCCATATGTTTGTTCTCTACATCTGTGTCTCTATTTCTGCCCTGCAAACTGGTCATCTGTACCATTTTTCTAGGTTCCACATATATGCGTTAATATACAATATTTGTTTTTCTCTTTCTGATTTACTTCACTCTGTATCACAGTCTCCAGATCCATCCACGTCTCTACAAATGACCCAATTTTGTTCCTATTTATGGCTGAGTAATATTCCAGTGTATATATGTACCACATCTTCTTTATCCATTCATCTGTTGATGGGCATTTAGGTTGCTTGCATGTCCTGGCTATTGTAAATAGAGCTGCAGTGAACATTGTGTTACATGATTCTTTTTGAATTATGGTTTTCTCTGGGTATATTCCCAGTAGTGGGATTTCTGGGTCATATGATAATTCTATTTTTAGTTTTTTAAGGAACCTCCATACAGTTCTCCATAGTGGCTGTATGAATTTACATTCCCACCAACAGTGCAAGAGGGTTACCTTACCTTCAGATTTTCTGATAAGCCATAGTTTCCTTTAAAAATTTTCCATACAGTAAAATTCACTCTTTTGTTCAGTTTTTACACATGCATAGATTCATGTAATCACCACCACAATCAAGATACAGCAAGTTCCATCAGCTCAAATACTCCTACCAATTTCTTTTTAAATAGTAAACTGATGGTGGGCAGTGAAGTCAGCATTATATAGCAAAATATCACTGCTCTGTATTTAGGTAACACCTTCAAGCTAACAAAGGAGAGTCTTTTCCTCCCTTTACATGTGGGTACCTCTGGTTCTAGGGTTTACGTGACACTTGCATTTTCCCAGACCTCGGTGTCAACCTATCTCACTGGAGTAAAGGGAATGGGAAAGGCTTTTGACCCAGTGAAATAACTTAATACTTTTGCTTCTCATTTTTGTAGAAAAGTGTCCAGTGTATCCAACAGAGCTAGTATTTGCCCTGGACCAGTCCTACGATATCACAGAGCAGAGATTTAATGAAACGAGGGACATCATCATTTCTATTGTCAATGACCTTCACATCAGGGAAAATAATTGCCCTGTGGGAGCAAGAGTTGTCGTGGTTTCCTTCGACTTAGACACCAACTACCTCATCCGTGGGTCTGACTACCATAGTAAGAAGCAACTCCTTCAGCTTCTTTCCCAAATTAAATATCAAAACTCCGGAGAAGTCCGAGACATTGGTAACTCGATGAAGTTTGTGGCTCGGAACATCTTCAAGCGGATGTTAGCAGGAGCCAATGTGCAGAGAGTCGCTGTGTTTTTTAGCAATGGACAATCTGCCAGTAGGTCATCCATCATCACAGCCACCATGGAGTTTAGTGCCTTGGATATCAGCCCTGCAGTCTTTGCTTTCAATGAAAGAGTTTCCCTTGAGGAGGCTTTTGAGGTAAGTACTTCCCTGGTCAACGTATTTATTTTTAAGATATTAGTACTGGCAGGACAGGAATACTGGGGAGTAGGGGGACAGATGTGGCCTCTTGACCCCTTTGCAATTTTCACAGCTGTATTGTTGCCAGGGTCCATGAAATCCAATTTTTAATAAGCACAGTAGCCAATGATAGCAGCCACCTTTGTTCAGGTCCTGCTGGGCACCAGGCACTGTCCCTAGAGCTTTACATACACACTCAGGCATTCGCCAACCCTCTGAAGTAAATGCACGTTATCTCCATTTAAAAATCAGGAAACTGAGGCCCAGAGAGTTTGAGTGACTTCTTCAATTTTGTACAGCTATTAAGTGGCTAAATCAAGATTTGAAATAGGGCTATCAATATAATGCTTTACCAGCCCTCTGCCAACCTGGTGTTTCTCAAATCTGTCATCTGCTAGCTGTATCTCATTGAACAGCTGGTCTTAACCTGTAATGGGTGAAGTTTATGGGGTTTTTGAACACCCTTAATGTGTAAAACTTTGATGGGTATGAACCCTTTTTCCCAAGAGAGGTTCCATCACTTTTGGATTCACAGATTCTCATGGGATCTGTGCTTCCCTCTTTCTCCCCGCAAACTGAAGAACTTCTCCATCTACTGTTCAACTATTTTAAAATCTACTCATTATCCATGAAATACATGCTCCTGGACCTGGGTGGAATCATTATGTCATCCAAGAGGTTATAAAGGTCTTTTTTTTTTTTTTTTTTTTTTTTTTTCTGTGGTACGCGGCCTCTCACTGTTGTGGCTTCTCCCGTTGCGGAGCACAGGCTCCGGACACGCAGGCTCAGCGGCCATGGCTCACGGGCCCAGCCGCTCTGCAGCATGTGGGATCTTCCCGAACCAGGGCACGAACCCGTGTCCCCTGCATTGGCAGGCAGACTCTCAACCACTGCGCCACCAGGGAAGCCCTATAAAGGTCTATTTTTACACAAATACACATGTCTACTATAAAAAGAAAAGCCCTCTATAACAGGAAGAGAGTCAATAATCGTAAGATATCCATGAATATTTTGGAAATAGGAGTCATAGGGAGAATAGTTCCTGACAGAAAGGATTGTAGGAATTTGAAGTAGTTTCTATAAAAATAATTACTTCCCAACATAGATAATTTATTTATTGGTTTTGTTATGGTATATGTCCCCCCACTAGAATGTAGGATAGAGATTTTATCTGCTTTGTTCATTTCTGTATCTCCAGCACCTAGAATATTACTTATTTAACATTGTAGCCATTCAATAAATATTTGTTGAATGAATGCATGGATGAATGAAGAGCATGTGGTTGACTCCTGTGAATAAACTTCCTTGATTACCAAGGTTGCAGTTAATCTTTACATGGGGGACCAACAAGGTCAAACACAAAATGACACCCAAAGTATCCAGTTTCATAAAAACTAGAGAGTAGGAATGTAGTAGCTACTTTCTAACTATAAGGCTGGAATGATAATAAATATTACCAAATGCTCAGTCAGCACTTTACAGAAAAACAGAGGGGGTGGTTTTTCTACCTTTTAATTTCACAAGGGAGAAAGAACAAAAGCATGAGCATCTCTGTTGATTGAGAGATCCCCTCATCACCTGGGAATTGTAGATTTCTATTATTATAATTAAATTGTCTGTATTGCATGGTGCCTCATACAGAGTAAATGCCCAATATATAGTTATTGAGTCTGAATGAATGAATGCTATATATTGCCCATTTCAGTGAGTATCAAAGCAAAATATAATCAAGAAACAGACAAAATCAGGCAGTGTACTACCAAGAATTTTGAATAGACTTAGTGTCCTCTGTCTACATCCTTTTGGAATGGAACTTTTAAAAATTGAAGTATAGTTGATTTACATGCTGTGTTAATTTCTGCTGTACAGAACGTGATTCAGTTATATATATATATGTATACACACACATACACACACACACATATATAGGCATACATATACATTCTCTTTTATATACTTTTCCATTATGGTTTACCACAGGATATTGAATATGGTTCCCTTTGCTATACAGTAGGACCTTGTTGTTTATCCATTCTGTATATAATAGTTTGCACCTTCTAATCCCAAATTCCCAATCCATCCCTCCCCTCCCACCCCCTTGGCAATCACAAGTCTGTTCTCTATGTCTGGGAGTCTATTTCTGTTTTGTAGATATGTTCATTTGTGTCTTATTTTAGATTCCACATGTAAGTGATGTTGTATGGTATTTGTGTTTCTCTTTCTGACTTACTTCACTTAGTATGATAATCTCTAGGCCCATCCATGTTGCTGCAAATGGCATTATTTCACTTATTTTATGGCTGAGTAATATGGAATAAACTTTTGATTGGAATTTGTGATTGGAGAAATCCACTTGACATCTGAAAGATATGCCTTCTTCTAGATAGTGTGATTGGTTGGAAATAGTTGGAATCACTACTTAAAGAGGCTAAAGGAAACTTGTGAATGTAAAATTTCTGCAAGACCCAACCCCAGAAACTGATGTATAGTACATAAACAGCTGGTGCATAGTCAGAAGTGTGTGAAAATTCAGTGCAGAATTGCAGGTTTGGAGATAAGAATGAGATATTAATATCTACCCCAGTGGGTGAATCTTGTGGTTAACTTGTGGCAGTTTCCTCATCATAAAATTGGGTTGCTCATACCTGTTCTATATGCTTCCTTGGGTTATGTTCAGGATCAAGGGGGGATAGTGTGTGTGTGTGTGTGTGTGTGTGTGTGTGTGTGTGTGTATGCATAAAGATGCACTGAATAGAGCAATGGGCTACAATGCAAGGTGATGGTGATTAGTTAGGTGTTTTTCAAACTCTTAAAGTGTGTGCGCAGTGTATTGCTGAAGATGACTAAAGAAAATGAGCAAGTAAGCATATACTTCTTTTTCAATGCAGTTTGACAACACGGGAACATTTCAGGTGCTTCCTGTTCCTCCAAATGGGGAATATGAACCATTAGAAAGACTTCGGCACTGTACTCTTTGCTATGGTAAGACTAATGAGAAGAATTTATTGTGCTGAAACACTTAAATGCCTTCTGGGTGAGTTATTAAATCTACCTTTATCAAAGAATTATATTTTTGATGGTAGATTCTAAGTTTTCCAATCTTTCAACACCATATGTCAGAGTTTCAATCTCTGTAATGTTTGAAGTTTCCATAGAATGTGAAAATTGGTTTAGAAGATTATCCCAATTGATTCGGCTTTTCCTGGGGACAATTTGATAGTTTGTATCAAAAGCTTCTAAAATATTTAAAATATTTTCTAAAAGAGTTTGGACATGTCTTATAGACTTTAAGTATACATCTTACTTACATCTGCTTTCAACAAAGACATTCCCAAATTGTCTGCTAGTGGCCACAGAAATTATGGGGACGTTGAAAATTCCTTATTAATTTAAATGAGGTGAGATTGAAGAGGTATTGATCAGATGATTAATTTTTGGTAATCAGTCCCTTATTCACTTGAAGATCTCAAACAACAGTGTCTTCTTGTGCCAACATTGAACCAATGATAAGTCTCTATGTGTTTTCAGATAAATGTTTTCCAAATACTTGCAAGAAAGAGATTTTCTTACCTGAAAATTCATACATGGATGTCGCCTTCCTCTTAGACAATTCTAGGAACATAACAAGTGATGAGTTTAAGGATGTCAAAGCCTTGGTGAGCTCAATGCTTGACAACTTTGATATTGCCTCAGACCCTGTAACCTCAGACTCTGGTGATAGGATTGCCTTGTTGAGCTACTCTCCTTGGGATAGGAGGAAGAAGGATGCGGTAAAAACAGAGTTTGAGTTTACAACTTATGACAATCAAGCTCTAATGAAGAGGCACATTCAGACTTACCTCCAACAGCTAAATGGAGAATCCACCATTGGCCGTGCCCTACTGTGGACTGTGGAGTATCTCTTCCCAGGAACACCCAAACTGAGAAAACATAGAGTCATCTTTGTAGTCTCTGCTGGAGGAAATCATGAGAGAAAGGAATTCTTAAAGAAGATGGCCCTGAAGGCCAAGTGTCAAGGCTATGTCATATTTGTGATTTCTCTGGGCTCTACACATAAGGAGGACATGGAAGAGCTAGCCAGCCACCCACTTGATCACCATCTGATACAGCTTGGGAGAATTCATAAACCAGACCTGGATTACGTTGTAAAGTTTTTAAAGCCATTTGTGTACTCAGTTAGACGTAAGTCACTATTTTGTTTTCTCTTTGTTTTAATAAATTAGTGTTTGTTAGTAGTATTGATAAACTAACATACCTCTGTATCTATAGCTAACCAAAATATGTGAATTAGATGGTGAAAAGGGGACAGGAATAGGACACATCTTGGTTATACCCTGTTTATGCTTTGGTCATAATGCGGTGAGACCTTTTTCATGATATAATGTCTCTTAGCCAAAATCTCAGCACTAGAAGGAACAGAGTGACTGGAGATCTCCTGAACTTCACTTGCTCAATGTAAAGAAGTTCTAGCAGCTCTTAGGTGGTCTCCAGATTGAGCATTTAAATAAAAGTTTTCCCTGCTACACCTGGTTTATTTCCAACCTTGGAGTACCCTGGAGATCTGTGTGAGAGTGCTGCTCCCAAAGGGTCTGAGCATACAGACCACACAGGAATCTTGTTAAAATGGAGGTTCTGATTCAGTATGTGTAGGATGGAGCCTAATATTCTGCATTTCTAACAGGTTCTTCAGTGATGTCAATGCTGTTGGTCACAGATCACACTTTGAGTAGAAAGGTTCTAGGCCAATGCACTACAAATTGTTACCCATTGGACCATGTTAGTCCATAAACTGATGAGTAAAGAAAGAAACTGAGAATAAGCATCTAGAAACTTTTAAAGCAATGTGACATTGGCACATTATACAAGTGTATAAACAGTGGACATTGTCTCATTGAACAAGGTATAAACCAAAAGTATCAGTCTGCAAAAGGCTAGAAATAAAAATACCTTGTCCTTCACCACAAGTGGTGTGAGAAATGCTCTTTCTATAGAGGTGGTTCTCAACTGGAGAGGATTTTGCCCCCCAGATGACATTTGGAAATGTCTGGAGACAATTTTGGTTGTCAGAACTAAGAGAGAGGATACTACTGGTATTTAGTGGGTAGAGACCAAGGATGCTGCTAAATATCCTACAATGCACAGGGCGCCCCCCACAGCAAAGAACAATCCAGCCCAAAATGTCAATAGCATTGAGGTTGAGAAATCCTGCTCTAGAGGATCCCATGGAATCAGAGCTGAACCTTTTCTTTCTGGGAATCTGACAAGTGTAGAGTTAGGTTCTGTTGGAACCAATCCCACCACCATAGGTGTCTTCCACCCTAGGAAGATTCCACCAAGGAATCTTCAATACCACCATAGTGACAACGTCTGGGAAGTTCACTCTTCCAAGTTCACTTGGAAGTTCACTCTTCATTGCAGAAGGAGCTTCCCCTTTCTCCTGTGACTCATATTCAACTGAAGAATCCAGTAATTACCCCTTTGGGAATATCATGTTATTTCTTTAACTCTAAATGCCTTCCATTGTATAATGCACCATTGTATTATGAAAAATGAAAGAAAAAGTGCTTCCAGTTAAATGTTGATACTGACATCCCTGTTAGAGTTTTTTTTATTTTATAGTCTTCAAAAGAGTTCTTTTAGACAGACTATGATATGTCACTCTTGTGCGTACATAAAAAGGGAATATATGTGAAATAGACTTGGTTAAGGCATTCCTAAAACTTCTTCTAGTCAAAATGTGACTTTTGTGAGCTCTTTCTTGACTCAGAGTCATTGATACCCATCTTTTCCCATGCAATATTTTTCTTTATACCATCAAGATCGATGATGGATTTTTTAAGAAAATCTTTTCTTAATTTAATTTTTGTTGGTGTATAGTTGATTTAAAATGCCGTGCCAGCTCCTGCTGCACAGCAAAGTGAATCAGCTATACATATAATAAATCCACTCTTTTTAAGATTCTTTTCCCATATAGGTCATCACAGAGTATTGAGAAGAGTTCCCTGTGCTATACAGTAGGTCCTTATTAGTTATCCATTTTATGTATAGTAGTGTGTATATGTCAATGCACCCCAATGGAGCAGTACTTTAAAAAGACTCTATGAAATAACACAAAACTGGTCTTGCTAGGCTCTTAAATTAGGCTTTGCAATTATTAGAGCTAGCTTACTTTTGATTTCCATCTGAGCAATGTTGTTAAGCACATCCAATTCACTGTCTTCCCATAACCACTTAGTTTGTAGAGGTTAAAAGTCTCCTTTACTAATACTTCCGGAAATTTCTTCTAAACTGCTGACCCCAATTCTACAAGTTTTGGTGCTGGCACGTTTGTTGTTCCCACATGTACAGGCGATAACAATGGCATCACGATTCCTTCCTCACCAATAGCAACTGTCAACTGCAATTGATTAGAAGACATAGTCTCATTTCAGAGAAATAGAAAAAAATGCTCATCTTAGAACAAGAGAAATATGATTATTATAAAACCATAAACATTCTGTGAGATATTTTCACAGAGTCTTCGATCATTCAATGGTCAAAGATTTCCTTTCACTAAAACCTATTTATTTTCCTGAATGAGGGGAAAATTATATATTTCTCAGTATTCCACAGTTTATAGAACAACAATAGAAAGAGGTAAAGGAACATATTATTTAGGTCAGTTAGCTAAAATCTTTCCTGTGATTATTTTCCTCCTAGGAAATCAGTGTTAATTGGTGCAGAAGCACAGAAATAGCATGATGTAATAAAATATTACTTTTTCTATTAGCATAAGTCTGAGTGAAAAAGTATTATAGGATCAGAATAAAATTATGTTAGCCTGGACATATGGAAATCGTGTCTCTGCATCACAATTAACCCTTAAATGAACAATTTGAGGAGGTCTGTTTCCATGACCCCAGTAATTTTTTGGCTGCAAAATGTTCTAAAATCAAATTCTGAATGCTATTTCTAGTTGCTACTATTTTCTGTTCTCACCCAAGCCAAATTGTGCTGAAATACTTTAGTGACATTTATTGCTTCAAGAAGATTCCTGTTGGAGTTCTCTTTCCCTAGCAAATACAATTTCTAGTTTAAAAATCTAACTATAATTTTCCTCTCTCAATAGGAGGATTCAATCAGTACCCACCACTGATGCTTGAGAACATCTGCAGACTCATCAATTCAAAGGAAGAGGATAATCAAAGTATCAATCTCCTGTGAGTTAGAAAGCTCTGATATTTACAAGTGACTATGGATTGACTGAGGGGTGTGTAACTGCCTGATGGCAGATAAGGTCCCTGAAGGAAAGGCTCTTCATGTATTCCATTTTCTGTAGCAGAAGTTGCACACAAGCATGCTTTCAGGATTGATGTTTTTATAACATCCTCATGAGCCTATTATAATTTTGCTTTAAAATTCATGGTTTTCTCAGAAATTTCCATACTGAAATTTACCCCAGAATTCAGTATCAACCCACCTCAACCTTACTTCTCATCTCTCCCCATCATAAGCTCTGAGTTCTGGCCACACTGGACTCTTGTCTGCCTTGTGTGATCAGAGGTCCAGGAGTTCACCCTCCTGGACCTCTTGTCACACTGCCTGGGATCCTGTTTCTTCCAGTGAAATCCTACCCATCCTTCATGGCCCTGATTAAACCTGTCTCCTCTTCAAAGCCCATCTTTACACTCAGTCAAAATCCACAGTTTTTCCTTTTTTAATAACTTTTTACACCTCTGCTGAGGCACTTATTACAGTTTATCCCAATGTCTTGTCTTACTGAAGTATGGGGTTCCATTGTTTCATTCCCAAAACAGAATGAAAGACCCCACAATATCATTGCACATGTAAATAATTTTCTTTAAAATTTTATCTTGAGTGAAAATATAAATAATTAATCTGAATGGACTTGAACCTCAAACAGAACGAGAATGGCCCATTTGGTTGCTCTGTGCTTTTCTCTCTATTTCACCAAGCTTGGATCCCTGACTACAGCCTGTGAAAGCCCAGAGTTAGCCCATAATGGCTCTGTCCCATCAGATTGCAATTAAGCAAAGAGCTTCTCAAAATAGATGCGGTCTTTCCCATAAATCCCATATATCCAAAATGGCAAGATGAAGTGTTCCTCAGAATTCATGCAAATACATGTTCCTCTCATGTCAGGTTTCATTTATACTTAGTAGTTTAACAAGGAAGCGTCCAGCAGCTCACACCTTCTGAAGGACAATATGGCACTGATGTCCTGTGAAGCAGTGTTTCCCAACATGGAATAAACAATACTCTTATTTAAAGGAAAATTGATTCTTACAGGACTACATTTTAATATAATATTTTAACATGTACAAACACAAATCTAGCTGCAAATACCATATGTGTATAGTTCCTATGCAACTATCAAACAAAAATAAATTCGTACATCAAACCCAAGGAAACTCAGTAAGGCACAAATTTAAAACAGTAATTTAATGTATTAGATGATTCTGCTTTGCCAAAATAGAATTCCTAAAAACTAAAAAAAGAAATTTTATAGCCAAGCATGTAAACAACCTAAATGTCCATCAACAGATGAATGGTACTCAGCCATAAAAAATGAAATAATGCCATTTGCAGCAACATGGATGGACCTAGAGATTATCATACTAAGTGAAGTAAGTCAGACAGAGAAAGACAAATATCATATGATATCGCTTATATGTGTAATCTAAAAAAATGATACAAATGAACTTATTTACAAAAGAGAAATAGACTCACAGACTTAGAAAATAAACTTACAGTTACCAAAGGGGAAAGGTTCAGGGGAGGGGGATAAATTAGGAGTTTGGGATTCACATATACATACTACTATATATAAAATAGGTAAACTACAAGGACTACACAGAGAACTATATTCAATATCTTGTAATAACCTAAAACGGAAAAGAATCTGAAAAATATACATATATGTGTATATATACACATAAATATGTATGTATAAATGAATCGCTTTACTGTATACCTGAAGCTAACAGAACATTGTAAATTAACTATGCTTCAATAAAATTTTTTTTAATAATATGGTGCATATTGGTAAAATGTGTAAAACATGATGCATGCTGCAGAGTCACCTCTGCTCTCAGCTTGCCCACTCAGTTCTGTGAGTGCTTGATTCCCCAGCACTTGTTCCCCTGCACTACTGCAAAACGATCATTCCCACTCTAGTCATTGTATCATTTGGCTTTTGCTTGGTGTGAATGTATTGTTGATAATATTATGTCTGACTTTATTTCCTTTCCTCATTAACTCTCAACAGTTAAAGTAGTACCACCAGGTGCCAAACAACAGTATCAATGCAAACATAAACATGGACTTGAAATTGCATAAAGGTGGATTAATAGAATAAGAATAAACTTATATTCAATATGTTTTTTACATTCACCTAAATAAAAACACAATATTTTCAAACTATCATTCTTGCTCCAAAGAATACAAATGTAGACACCATTTCAGGAAGCATGGTGTCAATGAGATATATTTTATATAGTTTTATTCTTCTCAGAGAAGTTGATGGTAGATTAAATGACTATTTTCTACATTTTCTGTGGAGATTGATATCAAACTGAGACACATTATTTGCTTGTCCCAAGTAACCTATGAGTTTCTTGTCATTTATCTAAAACTCTGTGACAAATCAGACTTGATTTATTCCAAAGTAGTGTTTCATAGGCTATAAGCAGATGGCAAGAAAGGGAAGGATAAATGGGAATTTACACAAATGTATCAGTATATGCTTTTTTTAAAAAATGAAGTATAGTTGATTTACAATATTATATGAGTTTCAGGAGTACAGCAGAATGATTCAGTACTTTTATAGATTATACTCAATTAAAAGTTATTACAAGATAATGGCTATAAGTCCCTGTGCTATACAAAATATCCTTGTTGCTTATCTATTTTATACACAGTAGTTTATATTTCTTAATCCCTTACCCCTAACCTGCTCCTCCTCCCGCACCCTCTCCCCTCTGGTAACCACTAGTCTGTTCTCTGTATCTGTGAGTCTGTTTCTGTTTTGCTCTATACATTCATTTGTATTATTTTTTAGATTCCACATATAAGTGATATCATACAGTATTTGTCTTTCTCTCTCTGACTTACTTAACTAAGTGTAATATTCTCTAGGTCCATCCATGTTGCTGCAAATGGCAATAATTCATTCTTTTTTATGGCTGAGTAATATTCTATTGTATATATACCACATCTTCTTAAGCCAGTCATCTGTTGATGGACACTTGGGTTGCTTCCATGTATTGGCTATTGTAAATAGTGCTGCTATGAACATTGGGGTTCACATATTTTTTCAAATTAGTGTTTGTGTTTCTTCGGATGTATGCCCAGGATGCGAATTGCTAGATCATATGGTAGCTCTATTTTTAGTTTTTAAAGGAACATCCATACTGTTTTCCATAATCGCTGCACCAATTTACATTCGTGCCAACAGTGTACAGGGTTCCCTTTTCTCCACATCCTCACCAACATTAGTTATTTGTAGACTTTTTGATGATAGCCATTCTGACAGGTGTGAGGAGCTATCTCATTGTGGTTTTGGTTTGTATTTCTCTGATAATTAGCAATGCTGAGCATCTTTCCATGTGCCTGCTGGCCATTTGTATGTCTTCTTTGGAGAAATTTCTATTTAGCTCTTTTGCCCATTTTTTAATTGTTTTTTTTTATATTGAGTTGTATGAGCTATTTATCTCTTTTGAATATTAACCCCTTATCAGTCATATCATTTGCAAATATTTTCTCCCACACCATAAGTTGTCTTTTAGTTTTTTCAATTGTTTCCTTTGCTGTGCAAAAGCTTTTAAGTTTAATAGGTCCCATTTCTTTATTTTTGCTTTTATTTCTTTTGCTTTAGGAGGCAGAGACAAAAAAAATATTGCTTGCGATTTATGTCAGAGAATGTTTTGCCTATATTCTCTTGTAGGAATTTTGTGGCTTCTGGTCTTACATTTAGGTCTTTAATCTATTTTGAGTTTATTTGTGTATATGGTGTGAGAAAGTGTTCTAATTTCATTGTTTTACATGTAGCTGTCCAGTTTTCCCAGCACCACTTATTGGAGAGACTGTCTTTTCTCCATTGCATATTCTTGCCTCTTTTGTCATAGCTAGATTAAGTGACCATAATTGTGTGGGCTTATTTCTGGGCTTTCTATTCTGTTCCATTGATCTCTGTATCTGTTTTTGTGCCAGTACCTTGCTGTTTTGATTACTGTAGCTCTGTAGTATAGCCTGAAGTCTGGGAGGATGGTATCTCCAGCTTTGTTCTTTTTTTCAACCTTGCTTTGGCAATTCAGCATCTTTTGTGGTTTCATATGAATCTTAGGATTACTTGTTCTAGTTCTGTGAAAAATTTCATGGGTATTTTGTTAGGAATTGCATTAGATCTCCTTTGGGTAGTATGGTCATTTTAGCAATATTAATTCTTTCAATCTAAGGGCACAGGATATCTTTCTATTTCTTTGTATCATCTTTAATTTCCTTTATCAATGTTTTATTGTTTTCAGAGTATGGGTCTTTTACCTCCTTGGTATTTTATTCTTTTTGAAGTGATTTGTTTTTTAATAAATTTATTTATTTATTTACTTTTGGCTGTGTTGGGTCTTCGTTTCTGTGTGAGGGCTTTCTCTAGTTGTGGCAAGCGGGGGCCACTCTTTATCGCGGTGGGCGGGCCTCTCACTGTTGTGGCCTCTCTTGTTGCGGAGCACAGGCTCCAGACGCGCAGGCTCAGTAGTTGTGGCTCATGGGCCCAGTTGCTCCATGGCATGTGGGATCTTCCCAGACCAGGGCTCGAACCCATATCCCCTGCATTGGCAGGCAGATTCTCAACCACTGCACCACCAGGGAAGCCCACGAAGAGATTTTAAATGGGATTGGTTTTTCACTCTCTCTTTCTGATAGCTCATTATTAGTGTAGAGAAAAGCAACAGATTTCTGTATATTAATCTTGTGTCCTGTGACTTTGCTTAATTCATTTATTGGTTCTAATAGTTTTTGGGTAGAGACTTTAGGGTATCTATATAAAGTATCATGCCATCTGCAAATAGGGACAGTTTTATTTCTTCCCTTCCAATTTGAATGCCTTTTATTTCTTTTTCTTATCTGATTTCTGTGGCTAGGACTTCCAAAACTGTTAAATAGAAGTGGTTAAATAGCCTTATCTTGTCCCTAAATTTAGAGGAAAACCTTTCAGCTTTCCACCACTGCACATGTTAGCTGTGGATTTGCCATAAATTGTCTTTAATTATGTTGAGATATGTTCCTTCTGTACCCGCTTTGATGAGAGTTTTTATCACGAATGGAGGTTGAATTTTGTCAAATGCTTTTTCTGCATCTATTGAGATGATCATGTAATTTTTGTCCTTCCTTTTGTTAATGTGGCATATCACACTGATTGATTTGTGTATGTTGAACCATTCTTGTGTCCCTGGAATAAATCCAACTTGGCACAGTGTATGATCCTCTTATATACTGTTGGATTCATTTTGCTAATATTTTGTTGAGGATTTTTGCATCTGTACTCATCTAAGATATTGACATGTAATTTTCTTTCTTTGTAATGTCTTTGTCTGGTTTTGGTTTCAGGGTACTGGTGGCCTTGTAGAATGAATTTGGGAGTGTTCCGTCCTCTTGAACTTTTTGGAATAGTTTGAGAAGGATAGGTATTAGTTCTTCTTTACATGTTTAGTAGAATTCCCCTGTAGTATAATAAATTATTTGATTGAAATAAATTTTTATCACCCAATTGTCTTTCTTCTAAGAAATAATTAACTATATTAAATTTTTGTGATATTTTAGTTGTATTTCCCAAAGTTATATAGGTTCACCTAAAACTTTCCCTTTTATCTTTTAGATTTACCCCTGAGCCACAAGAGATGTCTTCAGGAGAGAACAGCTTCATTGGTCAGGAATTGAGTGTGGGCAGAGATTCATCTTTTGTGTTGGAAGACAGCGGAAGTGACCATCTGGCTTACATTCCAAGCCAAATGTTTATGTCACAGAAATTAACAACTAAATATGAAAAAGATCAGGATTCTGAAGAAATTGCAAGTCTCACTGCTGGTAAGGAAATGAAAAGTTATAGTGGTAATTTAAAAATAACTGGATCCTCATCTTTTAACACTAATAGAGAATCAGATAAATAAGGTGGGTATAAAAAGCAACTTTTTTCAAGTTCAAGATGGTGGCTACAACTGCAGCTTTTATTTGATCTGAAGATTTAAATGGTCACAGGTACCACTCTGGAAATCACTGATAAGCTCTAAGAAATGTCACTGATATGCTCACCAAACTTAAGGTTTCTCTAGAAACCACAATTTAGGTTAGTGTGATGTAGAAGGAGGTACTACAGAGAATAACATAGCAAAGGAGGAACTTTTAAAAGTTGGCCTGACCAGTGCCCCAGAATTTGTGATTGCATGAGAAGGTGTAAGGTTTTTTAACTGGAAATAAAATAAACTACCCCACTCTATACATTTTAATGGCAAAGCAGTAATGCTTTTTGTCAGGATTTAATAGTTTCAAACAAATCAGATCATAGAATTTTGGCGGTATTTTCATTTGAAAGGGTGGGCATTCTAAACAGACTATTCAGCTATTCCATCTATGTATCTAGAGTCTCCCAAAATGCTCATTTGGCCAGAATGCCAGCATTTAAAGCATTATGTCGTAAGTATCATGTGTGATGTTAGAATATGCAAGTTTGAAAGAAAAGGCGGCCAATCTCATAATATTCATTCTTAGTAATTTCCTTGGATAAATAAATGTTCTTTTCCTTGGGTTCAACACTGATGTCCCCATATTCCCCCCATTTCTGAAATATACATGTTTGAATTTTGTCTTTAAAGCAGTTAAACTTTCCTTTATAGAAGCTAGACTTGAGAATTAAAGAGTCAATTAATCATTAGTTGAAAAATAAGACTTTTTTTTAGTAAAAAAAAAGTAATGAAGTAAACCTGGATGTATGTAGTTCCTTGGCATTAAGGCATTCAAATGTGTGATTTCTTGTTTAAAACAGGTTTTTATCATTATATAGACATAGCTTAAAGAAGAAAATACAACATTTGTTCTTCTTAATGGATGCAATTAATTTCAGGTATTCATTTTAACAATATGGGAATTACAATAGCCCTCAAGGCATAGGAATTTATTATGGTTTGGTTTTGGAAGAAAAAGAAAAGAAAAAGAGAAGTTATTTTGGCAGAGTTGGAATACCAAATTGTCATTTGTGACAGTATTGTTAGTAGTAAGCATTTTAAAGTCTAATAATTTAGAAGTGTGAAACTTTTCAAGAAAGACTGAATTAATTGGATATTTAAGGGAACAAAGGAGAAACTCATCTTTGCAGCCATCTTTAATGACCATTGTTCAATAGCAATAGAAATACTTTTCATTTGGTTTTTCAGATGTCTGGATATCAAGATACTCATAACCAGTTTAAGGTTCAATTTGGCTGCAGAAATAATTGTTGCATGGCTCTATAGGAAAAAAATGTCAATTTGCTGTTACACCCACCACACCCAATTTCTCTTGCAGTGGATTGAAGTGTTGGGAGTTCTGTGGAGGATTATGTTGAGTTGTGATTGCCTGGAAACAGAGTCTCAGATCTAAGGATAATATATATATTTTTTTATCCTTTACAATAAATCTGAGTCTCAGATCATCAGTGTTGTCTAGGGACTTCATACTATTCCTTTCTTTCTTTTCTTTTCTTTTTAAAATCATTGCTAGCTAGTTGTCAAAAGCCGCTGAGAACTTTCTGTATAATGTGCCATCCTCAAGGAGAGTAAATTGTAGTTCAGATATTTTATCCAGTCGCTAAGAGATGAGCTTTGATACACGTTCCAGATGTATTGCACAAATAAAAAGATTGATAACTTCCATAAGAACTTCCACATGCTATGCTTATTACTCATTTATAATGTGATTCTTATGGCCAAGGGCTGATTTTTGTGCCCTTGAATGGAGAGTCCTGGAGAAGTCAAGAATCTTAACCATTTAAGAAATTTTTAGAGTTCCCAGAGTACTGTGGGCTGGCAATGAGTTGTGTATCACTCTCTTTCACAAGAAACACAACCACTATCTCTCTACCTAGGCCTCTCCCTTGCTTCTTCCTCCCTACTCCAGTTTCCAAGTTCATCCTTAATTGCATCACCTTTCCTGGCCCTCTCCACTCCTTACAGCAGCTCAAAGACAATTTGTATCAGGATCACCTGGAAGCCCTTCACAAGCATAGATTCCTAAGCCCTTCTCAGTACTACTGCTTCATATTTAGGGGTGTGAGTGGCCAGGAAAAAGCCACAAGCTTTAAAACCACCATAGGTGATTTTTGTAGGTCCTCATTTTTCAGATCCACTATCCCAGTGATTCTCAAAAAGTGTGTCCCTAAACCAGAAGCATCAGCATCACCTGGGAACTCGTTAGAAATGCACTGATCCTGAACCTACTGAAGCAGAAACTGGAGGTGGGGCTCAACCATCTGATTTTTAACAAGCAAAAAATCTGATCCAGGCTGAAGTTTAAGAACTACTGTGCATGCTACCACTTTGGTGTACTTCCTGATTTGCTCTGTGTTCTCAGCTAAAAGCAACTGAGTAACTAGTATCACAGAAGAATTCCTATTGTCAAAGGGATCCAGGTAAACTGGATTATAATTTTATTTTACTCATCCAAGAACACTGAACATTCATCCACCCACCTAGTCATCCAAGATCTATCTAACAAGACATTTTAAGATCCAAATATGTAGGGGTTATCTAGAAATACTATTATGCATTTTGACCACACATCCACAATATAAAAATTCCTTGGAAAATTCAGTTGCTCTTAATTACTCACCAATGGAATACACATAGTTCTTTGGAATTATGTAATAAAAATGGGTGGTTTAATTCTAATTAAATTGCAACTGTTGACCCAATTGTGAGCCTAGCACTTTCATCAAAGATGCTATGTTAACTAATACTTAAGATACAGTTAGTCTATTGTCAAGATTAAAGCGGGACAGGATAATTTTTAATGAATATTAAATGCCAACCCAAACTCAGCCTAGGGCACACTCATAGCTTTAAGCACTCCCTGGCCTTAAGATAATTTCAGCTGATGTTCTTTTCAATGAATTTTATTAAGAACTAAGAGGCAACATTTCTCTCTTCAAACTAGGCTGGAGTTGTGCTCAAGGGAATTTGCATAGATTTTGTTTTACATTTTTATTTTGATAATTTTGATTGTGATCTACAATCAGTTTTGTTTTTTTAAGCCAATGTATATTTTGATTTTGAATCAATCATAAGGTATTAGAGCTGGAAAGGTATTTAGTGATTAGCTTTTGCAAATTCACCTGGGGATGATTCCACCCTACTCTACCCTAGGAGACATATTGCAATGTCTGGAGACATTTTTAGTTGTCATAACTGGAGGGTACTACTGGCATCTAGAGGCCACAGATGCTGCTAAACATCCTACAATGCACACAGGACATCCTCTCACAACAAAGAATTATCCAATCAGACTGTCAATAGTGAAAGAAACCCTGTTTTAGAAGAAACTTCAAGCCCCCAAGATCAGGGAACTAAAAAATTCAGTGTAAGGACTCAAGATTTCTACACCCTGTCCACTGTTTCCCAGTACACCCTCAGGATCCTGCTAATTTTTTAAAAATTGTAAAAGTACTATCATACCATATAACATTTTAATACAGAGTCACAAATCACACAATTTAGCAGACTGAGCTATTTGTGGTGTGGAGTACAGTCTTTGGTTTTTCCACAGGCATATAGGTTTACATAGTTTTATTCAATTTCATATCCTGCTTTTCACATATGTTGTACATTTTACATATTGCTGCAAGCTTCATACTGATTTTTTTGTGTTCTCATAATGTTACTTTCAATGAATGAATGTATTTAACTATTTATCTGTTGTTGAACACTTAGCTTGCTTCCAATTTTTGCTGTCACGTGTTGAACTTGAAGACATATATCTTCTGCTACATTTAAATCTGTACTGGAATTAAATGCAGCAGAACTGGCTTCTGAGTCACCCAGTGGAGCAGTCCCCCAGCTGAATGTCCTACTTTCATATCTGTACACATGCTAAAGAGGTCAGTGATAGAATTGGGATCGTGTCTGAATTGTAATGACATGTTTCATGAATGCTTTAGAAAATCCCAACCATCTGGATGCTCTTTGGGGGATAAACTGAGTCTCCTGTTCATTTTAAGCTGTGGACTGAGGTTGTGACATTCACTTTTGCTTGAGAATTTATTGTATAGTTATTATACTTTGGGTGTCTTCCTTGAAGATTTTGCATGCGGCAGAGCTAATGTGAACTGTGAGTTCAGGGGATGTGGATGATTTGACTTCATGGAGGCTGCTTCTGTAGGTCTCATGCAATCATTTGTTGGAATTACTAAAGCAATGTTCTATAGTGTTAGCAACACTTTTTTTCATGGGGACCCTTTGCTAGTGGAATAAAATATAGATAGTTGAAGTGATAATTGGGTGATGGTGGTGGTGGCAATCGACAAAACAGTGGCAGCCCTCGTTGAGGGCTTCCTATAGGAAAGGACTCTGCCAAGCATTTACATGGATTTTCCCATGAATATCCATGCAGCAAATATGTAATTAACTCCTGTTCTGAATTAAGCCCCATGCTAGTCTTTTGGGGGGTTAGAGAGATTTAAAAAAAAAAAAAAGATTCAGACAGAGGCCCTGTCTTCAAGGAGCTTGTAGTCTGATAATCAGAGTATACCCTGAGTAAAGAAAAGAAAGCTTAATACAAGTAAGAAAGAATTCAGTTTAATAAAAAGTGCAGGGAGATCAGCTCGGTGGTTTGTGACCACCTAGAGGGGTGGGATAGGGAGGGTTGGAGGGAGGGAGACTCAAGAGGGAAGAGATATGGGAACATATGTATATGTATAACTGATTCACTTTGTTATAAAACAGAAACTAACACACCATTGTAAAGCAATTATACTCCAATAAAGATGTTAAAAAAAAAAAGTGCAGGTGGAATGCTTTGGGAACCAGTATTCATCTCAGCATTGTATTCACTGTCTCACT